CGTGGGATCAAAATGTCAAGGGACAGCTTAGATTTAACAATGTGAAGTACAAATGTACTAAAGTTACAAGAAAAGATAGGTTCTAAAGATGGAAGACCGCAGGCACTTTGACTACTGCACGAAACGCTTAAATTCAGGTCTGAAAATGTTGCGCGTGTTAAAATAAAAAAAAAATGAGTTCTCTAAATTTTCAATTCCGATCCTCCTCAAAAGAACCAGGGTTGATAAGACAAATGTACAATTTTAAAATGCATTGAGAAACTTGATATTTTGGTTTACACTAGGCCTTAAAGGCCTATTTAAATCAAATTTATCATGAAATATATACTCTCGGTCTTAATGCTTATATTATAATCTCTATAAATAAAATTAATATTCTTACCCGATCCTCTGTTAGCGAGCAAACAAAATTTATAGGGTTCAAATCATTATATGAATTTATCTAAAATCCTTGATGATGGCTGTGTTGAAAGAAAATCTTAACGGGGGGAGATCTTAAACTTTTAAGATGCCTCCCAAAGTACTACAAAAATACAAATATTTTAAAAGTGATATTAACGTTAACCCAATGATGGTTATGTTGAAAGTAAATCTCAGCTGGAGGGGTCCACATAAATCTCCAAGAAATGGTCCTAAATGACAAAGTGTACAAGTAGGGGGTTTAAATCTCAATAAAAACTCAAAATTTGATATTTAATAAAACTTAAAATTTAAAATGAAAGTAAACACCTTAAAATTTTAAAGCAAAATATATCCGCACTTTGCAACAGTTTGTTAGGAGTGATAAATTTAAGCTTAACTTTAGCTCACATATGATTCATTCTCAAACAGTCTAACGCCAGTAAGGACGTGATACATGTCCTTTAACTTGTGATTTCGCTGTCAAATGACACTACAAGTAAATTGTTATGATCGAGACCCTCTGACCAGATGGTTTTCCTACCAAATGGTACAAAAAATAAGGTCATTGCTAGAGCACGTATGTTCCCCAATGATTTCAAACCTTTGAGTAATGAATCATAATGTATACTTGATAGTACACAAAACCCTCTGTTAGTTAATGTTGACTCAAATATGTATCCTTAGGCAAACACTCACCCTAAGTTTATAAGTTACCCTTGGATAATGTAACTCATGGCTTCCGACAAGGATCCTTCGATTAGGTTGGGTCGACTATATCTTTTGACTATGTAGATTAGGGATCATGACAACTGAGGATGATAAAATCATGGAATCTTGATCGAGTCCGTCATTATTCCCCCCATCACCCACTTTAAATAAAAAGTGATAAATTTATAATCTTAGAAACCTTGATAGTCTCATTTTCAAACCTTAAAAGCAATTGTTACTATATGTTGGGTACATAGTGCCTATCCAACGACTAGCCTTAATCGAAAGTGCTCTCTCATTATTAGGAGGGATAATTAACCATAAAGGCTTGCTCCTATGGGAAATCAAAACTCAGATCATAAAGTCCTTTGAAATGGGGCGAATATTTTGGTAGGTCTTATCTAAAAAACTAATTTGTCTTCTGAAATTTATCGTGGAACCTAATTTTTTGAAACTCTCCCCATCCACATCAACAAAAAAGGGCGCGGAGAGGTCGGTGCATGAATTTTGGGAGCTCATATATACATGGCTCTGCCTTTGATGTGGTCCTGTGTTTTAGGGTGAGTTTTCATAGGCGAGTGTACTAGGCGAGTCCTTTAGATGTGATGATAAGTATCTTTGAGCATGAGGGGAAAGTCCCTTTGGGCAATGTTGATTGCGTGCCGTAGATTTATTGAGTCTGGAGGGTCGTAATCATGGACCCTTGAGGTGTCCATTTCCTATAGTTGGATCAGAGGATGTCAGTGGTAGCCTGGTAGCCTTGATGATGATGAATGACCTGACAAGATCAATTTATGCTAAAGATAAATGATTCCTGAGGGTTTGGATGAATCCATATGAGTCCCCTTGTATTCATGCTTGGGATAACTCCTTGATCCAATCGGTTGGGATGAGTCACGTTCCCCATTGGCGAGTGCTTTTGGTGGGCTATGTGACAACTCTAGAGTACGGTTGGTTCCCATGAAATGCCTATATGGGCATATATGAGTACACACATTTGTATATACTTATTGTATTTTGTTTTAATTTAGAGCTAATTTGAGTCAATTCAAGCCCAACTAAATTCAAATTTGATTTCAATTTGAGTTGGCAGGTTTTTTTTGGCATGAACTCAACCCAAGCCAAAAAATGGAAATCCTATTTCAAATGATCATTGATATTTAAGTAAATTTGTAGGCCTATTATAATGAATGCCTCTAGCAAAAGCTTGATCTAATTTTTTTTAGCGATATTTCTCACTTTCACATTTTATTATTTTATTAACACATCTTCTCTTATGGCATGCGATGTACATAAGCATGTGGTATATGATGATCTGTGGACAAATATCACATCTTTTTATAACAAATAATATAGAAATCAAATTGAAATTTATATAAAAAAGGAGAATTTATGTATGTACCATACAATTCATATATATTTATGTATTTAACCCATACAACAACAACAACATCAAGCTTTTGTCCCACTATGTGGGATGTATTTAACACACAAATTTTAATATTTATTTTTTAATGTTTTAGTATCTCAATCACATCAAAACATATATAGGAAAATGTTTATTTCAATTTAAAAGAGTTAGTTATATTTTTTACATGATTTAAAGATTAGGGGTTATATAAGTAAATATCAAATATTTGATGTAACCCATGTAAATATATAAAAAAATATGTGGTATTTATATAAATTACCCTATATAAAAATCTTTGTTTTTTTTTATTTTCCCTTATTATTTAATTTGTTACTTCGAGATTTTGGGGGTGCTTGTTTAAATGACAAAGGCTTTACATCTATGCAATAAGTTTGAAGCATCATATAAAAATGAATATATATATATATATATAATTTAAAATAAAGCGTAAAGCGTTATGTTTGATCCTCATGTAGAATGAAGTATTTGATGCGTATATATATTACATGAAAAGGTCTACAAAGTGTTTGATCCTCATATATATTATAAATATAATTCAAATAGAATAGACTAATAAAAAATTATTGTTACACTTAGATGAATGGGAGAAATGAATATGATAAATAATCTAAAATAAAAATAATACATGTGTGACAATGCCTGATTTTGTCGAAAAAATAGAGTATATATATATATAATCATACTTGTTAATGACGTAGAATGATGTACGGCGTAGTGCGACACACCTATGGTGCCAACTGTAGGCACAGTGTGTAGTTAGGGGTGTCAAAAATAGGTTATGGATTGGGTTCGGGTCAAACCTGATATTGACCAACTATTGTTTGACTTGACTTGACTCGTTTTTGCAAACGGGTCAGAAATTATAAGCCGAAACCAACCTGACTTAACTTGACCCAAATTTTCAAACAGGTTACTGGGTTATTGCGGGATCGCACAGAGTGCAGAGGGGAAAATGTGTGGGATGGTGCGGAGCAGACAACTGTGCTGTGGCATGTGGGATATGGCGGAGCGGGTAACTGCGAGGGTGCGTGGAGCGGGCAACTGCGCGGGTCTGCGGAGCGAGAGACTGCACGGGTGAGTTGTGTCATATTATAGGATCTATATTAAAAGAATTAAATATGTCTTTCATTTTAATTATTTAACTAGAGCTTACCAATAAATATTGAAAAGAAACATGTTTGCATTTTTGTCTTATCCGGAGTCTCATATTATAGGTTACTTAACGCTTTTCTGAAAACATGTAAAACCACGTAATGAGCACATAACCCAACGAGTAACTAAAATCTTACGGTTGAAATTAATGCAAGATAAAATAAAACAATATGCTATAAATCAAATAAAAATTATATGCATCAATATCTATATTGATTATCTGTATCAATTTATCCTTCTATAGTTCATCACATTATCAGTCAAAATATCAATAACATTCAACAATACTAAGCCAGTAACAATATTATTATCATGATCAACAACATTAAATAGTGTTAATGACAATAAACCGTATTAGTGTTAGTCACAATATCAATATAGTGTTCACAACAGTATCAATATCAGTATTTAAATATTCAATGAGAGTATCTTAAGGGTATCTTGCTCCTACACTTATGACTCCCAATCAGTCGCTCCTTATAACTCTCAATTAATGTGCTTCTTATAACTCCCCTTGAATCACGTGAATCAGTCACCCCGACTCTTTATAACTCCAAATCAATTTCCAGTTCCTTATGACCCCTAATAAGTGAATCATGTGGATGAGTATGATATTATGTGGAGTTATCATATCATGTATCTGATATCATTCAGTACTTTATTAAAAATGTAATAAAATCACATCAAATTATTACAAAATGATCAAATCTATAATATATCCAAACTTAGACAGTGAAAGATTATAAAATCAGGATAAAGTATTTTTGGCAGATTTAGGAGAGAATATATAGAAATCAAAATCATTGAAAACTAAAGTAATTGATTAGTCACTTACAATAAATAGAATAAAATCTGTAATAGGAATGTCTAACAAATATGATTCAAATACTTTTCTCTCTCCTCTCTTCTTCTCCTCTTTCAATTTCTTCCTAGCCAAGAAATCAAGTGAATGAGTCAGTGGAGTGAGACTGATATATATATATATATATATATATACAAATTCGGGTTATCGGGTTGACTCGAACCCGACCCCATTTTTCAAACGAGTTAAAAATAAAATCCGAATCCGACCCGTTTATTAGATTGATCGACCCAAACCTGAATTTTTTGGGTCAGTTATCGGGTCGGGTCAATATTTGACACCCGTTGTGCAGGGTCATGTTAACATGCGCCATGTGTGCGCAATAGTGCGTGCAATTTGAATTTATGTTATATAATTTTTAAATATTTATATTATTCTAATTTGTAAATAATATAATAATAAATTTTATGTTATTAATTATTCATTTACTTGAGTCACACTCGATTCCTCAGGCAGCTGAAGCCACAATCCCTCACGCCTGCACGAATTCTGCCTACCTTAGGCTCGACTGAAGCTATGAACCCTCGCGGACGCCCGAATCCGCGATTCTCCATGGGATTCCACTCCCTTCACGTGATTTCGCATGGATTTAGCCTCCCTTCACACTATTTCGCATGGATTCTACCTCCCTTCATGCTATTCTGGAGCTCGATCGTCCGGGTATTCCTTCCGTCGCTCCATGTTCGTCCGAGTATTCTTTCCTTCCCTTCACAACATTGATGCCCCTAGCTTGAAGCATACTTGTTCCATTGAGCTCTTTGGTTTTCAAGCCACTATCTAAAAATTTTCACACAAATATAGTATAGTTATGGAGCATGCTTATTTCAATGAACTTGATTTTATGAATCTTGAAGCACACCACTAGAGTGCACCGAAGAAGACACCCATCATTGCAAGTATGAGTGTATGACCTTGAAATAGGTTTGTATTTATAATTATAACTAAGCATAGTAGATGAAATGATTTTATCAAGTATGATTTATATTCTTCTTGTAAGAAAATCAAGAGAAGCTCTAACTTTTTATTCTAAATATTATTTTATTTGGTATTAAATTAGAATATTTTCTATTGGCTTTTATCTAATAGAGACATTGATTAGTTTTGCTAGTTGGTTGGATCTAGATAGAGTATTGGGTAGCCAATTTGAGCATGCCATTATAACTAGGTCTACAAGGTCAATCTTATACCATATGTTAATTTTATTGTTAGGATATAGGTTAGTTAACTAGAATATGCAAAGTTATCAAAATTTCTTCATGAATCCTAATAATATTTTTATGATATACCAAGCAAATTTGAATAATCTTGAGTTATTAGCTTCATTAAAATGCCTACTTTATTTTATATGCTTATTATTCTATTTTATTTTGATTAACGCCAAATAACAAAATCATTTAGTTCAATAGTATACTTCTTATTAGATTTCAAGGTTTTAAGCATGTGAGATGGACTTTGAATTTGCTTGCTTATTGAACATAAAAAAAAAAAAGATTCAATTCAATCTTTAAAGAAATATTCAACATGGAAATATGTAATATTATCTAATGAAGCCGATAACAATATTATGACATATTTTTGGTGGTAAAATAACAAAATGAGAAATTACACGCCACAAACAACACCTTTTGGAGGTTTTAGAAATGCTAGAGCTTGCTCTACTTTCCCAAGCACGTTAATGATTGAATTGAGAAAAAAAAACATTTAAAAGAATAGATTAATGACACATCAAATATCATTCTTGACGAAGGATATGACTTTGATGTAGTAACAAATGATGATATTCTCGGCGTTGGACCATTCAAAATATTTCAAACAAATAAATCCAACACTTAGAGTTAAATTTCACATCAATATTCATCCTTAAAGCATCAAAACCAAAAGGTCATCAAATACTTCTCTTACATTAAATACTGATAACTTGGTGAAACAGAGGAAATTCCAATTTAGCAAAGAGATTGATGCTACTAAAAGGAAATGAGAGGAAAGATTATTCATTTTTTGACAGATGGATGTATGATGCTGGTATTTTATTTAATGCAATGAAATATGACAGTTTTCCTATCGTGGTCGAGATATTTGGACAGTTTGGATCTGAAATGAAACCTCCTCGTTATCATGAGGCACAAGTTGTTTGAAGAAAAAAGGTTGGACTTACACATGAGCAATTGCCACGTCATCAAGAAGATTGTGTATGATATGATTGTTGTCCAATGGAGGATGGATGGACATTGAGGAATGAGAAAAGTTTAATTAATTTTTTTGTGAATTATCTGAGAGATGTTGCATTCATAAAGTCAATAGATGCCAGTTCTTTTTATAAGAATGCTATGAATATGTTCGAATTATTTTTGCAAGTACATTGAGATTATTGATCGGTTGATCCATATAATGTGATTCAAGTTGTTACTAATAATATATTTGAAAATGTCCTTGCAGATTTGACATATCCTAGTCCTATGTTATTTCATATAAAGAATAAATTTTTTGTCTTAAAATAATTTTTAATGACATTATAGAAAAAATTATTGATGGACAATTATCCACACATTTATTAGATTCCTTGTGCTACTCATTGTTTATATTTAATATTGGAGAACATTTTTAAAATTTAAAAACATAGACGATTCTTTGAGAAAGTGGTGAATGTATACAGTTTTATATATTCAAAGGCTTGCTTGATTTAATTAGAATGTGCACAAATCAAAGAGCACTTGTTAAACCCGTCAAGACTTGTTTCGTAATAATTTTATTGACTTTATAGCGTTTTCATCAACATCAATTGAATTTGAAAAAAAATGTTTAATTTTGAAGAGTTCATTTTGGGTCCTTATGCAAAAGAGACAAACAAAACAATCTCAACATACAATCTTGCAACAATCATTCTGGAATACTATTTTGTAGACCTTAAAAATAGCTTGTCTTTTATTGAAGGTTCTTAGATTGATCGATAGAGAAAGGAAGCTCCCAATAGCTTATATATATGAATCAATGGATAAGGAAAAAAAGGCAATTGCTAAAAGCTATAGCAACATTGATAAATATGATCAAAATTTTAAAATTATTGATAGACGATGAAAAGTGCAAGACCAACCTCTATATGCAGTAGTGCACTTTTTAAATTCCGAATATTTTTTAGTAGTTTTAGCATTGCTCATGATAAGTAAATACCTGATAATCTTTATTCATGTATTGGAAGATTATTTAAAGATATAAATAAAGAAAGCAAAATCAGTAATGAATTAAGTTTATATGTTAGGGGTGAAGGTCCTCCAGCTATAACACAAATGACTAACTGATATCTATGTATTATTATTTGCATAAATTAAGATTGATCAGCAATTCTATAAAAGTAGAATATAAAAATTTTATTTCTTTTAACTGATTGGTGGTTGGAACACTGTCGTTGCTAGGTCCCAAGTCCTGTATGAGAAAAGTGGAGAGTTGCGTTAGGCAGTCGACATTCAGTGTAAAACTTGTTGAATAATTATGACATGAATCCTTTAAAAAATTATGTTAATGCTAGGGCATCTCCTAGAAGCGACGTATTGTATGACCTGAATACAACGACAAGTGTGCAAGGGCTACTGAGCCGACGCCCAGGTGTAATGTTAAATAGGCAAGGGTTCCCACATCGAGGACGGATGCGGGCAAAGAAGCTAGTCTATGAAACTAAAATTAGGATATAAATTTGAAATATATGCTCCCTTACATAAAAGTTAATGTAATTAATATATATTATGATTCATAGGAAGATAAATATATTGTACATTCAGGAAATTAAATGGGTTGGAGAGAAGGCTAAGGAGATTGATAGTTTAGAATATAAATTTTTGTATTCGAGTAGGAGTCGTACTAGAAATGGTGGTGTGATTATAGATAAGAGTTTGAAAGATAATGTTATAAAAATTAACATAATTAGAGATAGAATTATAGCTTTAAAGATTTTTTTTTATGCTAAGATTGTTAATATTATAAGTGCTTATGCACCTCAAGTAAGTTTGAAAATGAGTTCAAAATTAAAATTTTAGAACGATTAGAATAATTAATACAAAAGATACCTTTTGAATAAAGAATTTTTATTGGAAGAGATTTAAATGGACATGTTGGTAAAGGTAGATGATTTTAAAAGCATTCATGGTGACCATGAGTTTGGAACGACAAATGAAGGTGGTAAGACAATATTAGATTTTTCTTTAGCTTATGAATTTTTAATAACTAATACCTTATTTAAGAAAATAGATGAGCACTTTATCACTTATTAAAATGGATATAGTAAAATGCAGATTGATTATTTTCTTATAAGAAAATTATATCATTTAGATTGCAAATATTAATGTAAAGTTATTCTAAGTGAAAATTTATGTATCTAACTTTGTTATTAATTTTGGACTTTACGATAAAGAGACATAATATAAAATAAAGTAAAATATTATTCTAGGATTAGATGGGGGCATTTAAAGAATATTAATTAAAATATTTTTGAGAGTAAGATTTTAGATCTTAAGATTTTGTCTGTGCATGAGGATGCTAATGTTATGTGGGAAAATTTGACTAGTGATATTAAGAATATTTTAAAAGATGTGTTGGAGTTTCGAAGGGAATAACTCTTAATAGTAAAAATAGTTGGTGGTGAAATCCAAATGTGCAAGAAAAGATAAAAAAATAAGAAGTTTTGTTATAAAAATTGATTTAGATGTAAAGAGGCTCGTAAGGAATCTAAGAAAGCTATTTGCGATGCAAAGAGCTTAACTTTTAATGATTTATATAATAGATTAGATACTAATGAGTAAGAAAAATATATATATATATTTATATATAAGTTAGCCAAACAAAGAGATAGGAGTGGTAAGGATTTAGTTCAAGTGAAGTGTATTAAGAATGAAGATCAAAAAGTACTTTTCTTAGAAGATGATATTCAATAAAGGTGGATGAGATATTTTGCTAAACTTTTTAATGAATAAAGTGAAAATATGATTGAATTTAGTGACTTTAGCACCCTAAATGAAAGTAAATATTTTTATTTTTATAGACATATTAGTAAAAGCGAAGTTAGAGAGGCTTTAAAGAAAATGAAGTGTGGAAAAGCCATTGGACCTGATGATATTTCAATAGAAATGTGGAAATGCTTAGGAGAGGAAGGAATTTCTTGGCTTACTAAACTTTTTAATACTATTTTGAAGACTAAAAAGATGCCATATGATTCGAGAATGAGTGTGTTAATTCATGTTTTTAAGAATAAATGTGATACACAGGAGTGTGCAAATTATAAAGGAATTAAGTTAATGTGTCATACTTTAAAACTATGGGAGCGAGTTATGGAGCGTAGGTTGTGGCCTATACTAATGTTTCTCAAAATCAATTTCGATTCATGCCGGGTAGGTCTACTATGGAAGCCATACATTTATTGAGAGGTTTGATGGAAAAATATAGAGATAATAAGGAGGATCTACATATAATATTTATTGATTTAGAGAAAGCGTATGATAAAGTTCCAAGAGAAATGTTATGGAGAGTTCTTGAAAAGAAAGGAGTTAATAACGCTTATATTCAAATCATTAAAGATATGTATGCATGAGCTATATTACTTGTGTTCAAACACAAGGTGGTTTGACCAATCATTTTTCTATTTCGGTTGGATTACATCAAGGATCAGCCTTAAGCCCATATCTTTTTGCTTTAGTCATGGATGTTCTCACTAGACATTTGCAAGAGGATGTGCCTTAGTGTATGGTTTTTGTTGATGATATTCTTCTTGTTGATTAGACTAGAGAGGGAATTGAAGGTAAACTTGAATTATGGAGGTCAACATTCGATCGCTTGAGTAGATCTAAAACTGAATATATGGAGTGTAATTTAGTAGCAATAGTCCTGGTGAGAGGATTGTGTCTTTGAGCGATCAAGTAATTAATAAGAATACACGTTTTAGATATCTTGAATCTATTGTTCAGGGTGATGGTGAAATAGATGGGGATATTATCAGCAGAATTCAAGTTGGATGGTTGAAGTGGAGGAATGCATCAGGCTTGTTGTGCGATAGAAAAGTCCCTCTCAAACTTAAGGGAAATTCTATAGGATGGTGGTGAGACATGCAATGCTTTATGGTGCCGAATGTTGACCATTAAAAGAGAAGCATAATACTAAGTTAAGTGTTGCAGAGATGAGGATGCTTAGGTGGATGAGTGGCTTTACCCTTAGAGATAGGATACGAAATGAGCATATACGTGAAATGGTTGGAGTAGCTCCAGTGGAAGATAAGATTAGAGAGAGTCGCCTTATATGGTTTGGTCACATTAAACTGAGGCTTTCCGATGACTCAGTTAGGAAATTGAGGTATTAGATTTGACTTATGTTAAGAAAGGTAGATGCAGACCTAAAAAGACTTGGTTAGAAAATATTAGAAATGATCTTCTTTATTAGATTTAAATGAGAATTTGATTTAAATGAGAATTTGACTTTTAATTGGACATAATGGAGAAAAAGGATTCATGCAGCCGACCCCAAGTAGTGAGACAAATGCTTGATGATGATGATGTTATTGTTGTTATTGATTGGTGGTTGGAATATGGCCAACGAACTCCTCATTTGTTAAGTTTTGCTATTAAAGTCCTTAGTCTAATATGTAGTTCATCTGGATGCAAACGTAATTGGAGTATAATCAAACATGTACGTATTTTTATAGAGTATTAGTTGCTTTTATATGCATGTTCATATTATAGTAATATAATTATGTTTTAATTGTATAGTAGAAGAACCGACCGATTAGGTATTTTTCGCTGGGTCGTGCGGAGTTGTGGCGTGTCGTTCGTGAGCTAGGGCTTCTCCTCTCTTCGTCGTCTGCTATTGCTCGTGAGCTCGAGCAAGAGAGGTGAGTCGGCGAATAGGGAGATAAGAGTTTTCGGTCATTCGACAGTTGGGAGTTTCGAGACGTTACTGCTCCGGTTAGGAGTTCTTATCTCGGGTATGGTTGTTGGCTTGCTGCTCCAGTAAACTTTTTTTTTTTCAGATCCTAAACAATTTTTTTTTTCAAATCTATTGTATGCTCTTTCTTTTTTATTCAATTTTATTCTTTTTAGGCTTTTTGTGAAGACTTTTCTGAATGGTTCATATTCGAGTGAAGATTTAGGGTTTTTGATTCAAGTTCATTTTTTATGAAAGAAGAATAACTATGAATACTAAAGGTGCATCTTGCATTTTCTTATAATGAAAATTTCATAAAAAAGCCTTCAATTTGAGCTGAGCTCGAGCTAACGAGCCGAATTCGAGTTTAGGATTCAGACACATGAGTAGAGTTCGAACTCGAGTTCTTGACTCGAGTCGACCTCGAGCTTGAGTTCGAGCCACTTAAAAAATTTGTGAGCTGAGCTCAAACTAGCTATGTTTCGAACTCGACTCGACTTATTTGCACCCATAACTGTTGCAAAAGCCATTGGTGTTTATTATAAAGTTACTACATTTCGAGAGCGATCAAAAGGCAAAGAGAATGAATCTTCATCTAGGCATGATATTATTACTATTAAGAATGAGGATGATAAGGGTGATAGAAGAGGATTATGATATTTCATATTAATGCCTATCTTTTTATAATTATTTTTTTTATTTTGTGCCATATTCAAAATGGAGCGCGCTGCGCCATGGCTCCGCTTCCTGGTGCGCTATTTGTCGTTGACAAGTATGGATAGGATGAAATGCATGATATTACAAAAAATATCATGTGAAAATTAGGTTAAACTATTTGCTTGAGAAGAGGTATCTTGGGTAGATTATAAGCATTAAATCTTTTTTTTTTTATTTCATGATTTTATTTTCCTTCCATTCATTTTGAATAGCATAAAATGTAGGATTAACTTGTCAGAATAAAAAAGAAAAAAAAAAAAAACTGAGGCTCAAGTTAGCGCATCATTAAGCATATTCTTTTGTTGAAATCTAGTCGTTTCCAGTACAGAGGATCCGACGGACACAAAGATCAATCCGTGGGATGCTCTCTTGGATCACGCCTTAATAAAGGAAGAATTTAGGAAAGATTTTATTAGATTTTATGTATTTTATTATTTCCTCATTAGGATCTTGTATAGATCTATAAATAGGGAAGATTGTAATGAATAAAGACAAGCTTTTTCCTCTCAAATTCTCAGTTTTCACATGGTATCAGAGCTAACGGCCTTCATTGCCGATTGAAGAACGATCCTAGAATCGTCGGAGGAAAAGAGGAAAAGAATAAATCGGAGCTACAAGACGCTGCGGATGCCGCCTCCGACTCCGACGAACGCAAGCAGGCGGAGTCGAACAACCAGACACCGTCTGAAGCTGTCTACTGCTCCGGACGAATACGACCTACCCTTAGCTTTCGATCCGGGACGGAATCGGAAGGACCGACCGCTCCGCAAACATTAAACCCCGAAGCCTGAAGCTGAAGCCAGAAGTCTCGATCTTCTGCGGAGAAGCTCAAGCCTCGCGGACTCAGTTTTCACATCTTCATTATACGAAAACTTCAAGGTTTACATTTTTAGACAGTTTTGAGAATACTTTTTGCTTCAAAATGTGCCTTTTTATGTACTCTATATGTATTTAAGTAGGAAGATTAGTTCTTATGTTTTTGCATTAACTTCCCTTATTTATTTATGAGGTATATTTTCAACATTAAAGATTTAATATCTTTTTGAGGAGCTTCGAACCTCAAAATTACCTGCTGATTTTTCCACATGAGTGAATTCTATTTAATTTGCTGCTTGTATTGAGCCTCGCATTTTTTTTACAGCTACTTTAATATTAAGAGCATCATTCAGGAAAGACATGCCTTAATCAAATGATGTATGAATGACAAAAGATGAATTTTGAAAGCTAGCACATGATCTCTTGGATGATTACATGGCTGATAATTACTCTTTAGAGGAGTTATTTGCACCACGTGGGAGTTCATACAATCCTATCCATTTTTGCTATTTACTTATCCTACAAATATCCTGCTTCTGGTAGCCGATTATAAGGAGTCAAAATATGCCTAGAAGTTGAATTGGAATGATTTTCAGGAATGATTAGATCCTTCATCTATTTAAGTTGATTTTTTTAAATCTTGTTTTAATTAAATTAAAAGTTTGTTTGGGACAACTTTCTTACTGGTTTACTTTTTAGAAAGCAACTATATTATCATTTGGCTTTTACTTTCTTGCTGCTTTCTCATTATTTTCCAAAAATTTATGTGGTGGAAGCTGTTTTTTGCTGCCGGAGTAGCCCATAACAAATTTACAATCAATTTTATAAAACACTATTACTGTCCCAATCAGATCCTAAATGTAATAAAGATAAGAACAATCTCATCATTATTGTTTATTTTTTGTAAGTAAATAAAGATAAGGATAATCCCAAACGCTGTAGCCGTCACAACCAACTTTTTTCTGTGTGAATTTTTAGATTATTGATGAACAGATTATGTATTGGAGCTTAAAAATATTTATTTATTTTTCTCTTTTAATCCATATTCTGTATGCGGATCACCTGATGTTACGTACACAAAGGGTCTCTTCATCTTCTGCTGATATTCTTTCTCTTAAAGTTTTCACATCCCTTCTTGCTGTGGTATCTTCCTCGTCCACAGCTTTTGAAATGTTTGTGGGTCTTATTGGGCCCTGATACAAAAATCAGGAAAATCATCATTTAGCTATTGGCGAAGTTTCTATGTACATTCACTAGCATATATAGCTGAACTAATATTGTGCAATAAAACATTTTGTTTGTGTTTTGAGTAAGATTTTTATCAAGCTCATTTTGTTTATATTAGCCAGCAGTCCCTCGTACAACAATGGGTTGGTCTAATTTCCTTTGAATTTTCTTGTTATTGGAACTTTCCCTTCTGATTGTCAGCAATGCAATTCATCGTTTGCAACTCTTATGTTATTGTACTGGATGTTAAATGCAAAAAAGTTAGTCTTCGAATACCTTTGATTTTTTGCATGAAAAGTGAATGGTGTTGTGGGCCAATGCTTCATTTCACTTGCATTGTGTATTGTTTATGTTGGATTTAAATTTGTGCATTAGAATCTTAATAACAAGCAATGATAGGAGGTTTGAGAGAAAGAAAAGAGAGAGAACTAGAGAGAAAAGCTATAAGAATATTATTAGATTTTGGTATCATATATAAAACTAGTGTGACATGAGCCCATTAGTATGTTCGAATATGTTCAGCTCCATTCTTTGACCTCTTATTTATAATTTATGTCAAGATTTAATGCTTTAAGAATGTCAATGATCATGTAATACAAGTAAATGACATTGGTAGGTTTAATAATATTTATTGAAAAATGTCAAAGTCTTGTTGGTTGATGGTTGTTTAATTGTTGGGGCAACTCATAAGTTATAAGTTGTGGGTGTGTTCATTTGATGTTCGTGGTGGTTGAATTCTCTTCTGTGACATACCTAGCAAGTTATCTTTGTTGGATCTAAATTTTTTGTGGATGACATCCGATATTACTAGCAAGCAATCTTTTAGGCAGGAATTAGGGAATTTGGAGAGGCTTTGGTGAGCATGGAGAGTGAGAGTGACTGAAATGTAGAATACACTCAAAGAATATATAAAAATCTTGAATATATAGGAATTAACAAACCAAATGTTCCTCCTCATCTCTTATTTATGGGGCTTGGATAGTAAAAACTCACCAATGACATCAGACATGGAACGTTTGCCTCCAGCTCAGCTCAACAACTCATCGTGCGATTCTAACAGCTAAGACTAATCTCAGCCTTACACGTATACAGCACCTGCACAAGTTCATCTATATATACATAGCTATATACATTACTAATGTATTCACAGACTCATCTTTACATAGAAATGAAGTATTACCTTTCTGCAGCCCACTCTCTCTGTTTCTGTTAAAGCTGCACCTGTCTCTGTTCTCTCTTTAGTTTAGCATCTAACATCATGGCAACCTCATTCTCCCATACAGACAACACATCGGCGGACACACAAGACACCGATGCCCCTATCCCCTCCTCTATAATTTCTTATCTCTAATATCAAAACTATTTTTTCTCTTTCCCTCTCAAATGACAACTATCCAACTTGGAGATCCCAATCCTCAAACTATTTTGTGCAAATGGCTATGTGGACTTCCTCGACAGAACCTCTCCACCCCCTCCGCACACTATATTCGATATCACTAGAACCTCTCTACCCCCAACCCGGACAACAATCGGTGGACTCATATCGACCAGAACCTATATGCAGCCGTTGATCCCTAAAGCAAATAAAAAAAAGTATCAAATTATGTGTGCATACCTGTTCAAATCTCTTGAAATTCAGTAGGAATCCCGCCGAGACACTGTATACGCAGCTCCGTTCGCGTCTATTCCCGTAAATCCCTCGCCTCGGTCGAGTGTCCAAGCATGTCGTTAAATACCGAACCAAATGAAGCCTTCTGCCTCTTCCTCCTTCCTCTCTCGCGACCAAATTCCTGTTTCTCCATACTCCACACCTCCATCGACGAAGTCACCCTCTCGATTGAAGAAGATCCCGCCGATCTCACCCTCTTAAATTTATAATTAATAGTTAATTGTAACTAATTAATTATTAATTATAATTCATTATTAATTACTTATAATTTTTAATTATAATTAATTATTATTAATTAGTTATAATTAGCTAATTAATTATTTATAATGAATCATAATTAATTATTAATTATAATTAATTATGGTTATTCATGATTAATAATTATTAATAAAAAGAAGAAGAAGAAGAAAGAGAATAATGTATCTCTTTTCTTGCCTCGATCTACGTGCTAGTACCACCTCTTCGACCCTTTGCTATGGTATAAAGTTCTGAACCTGGGAGAATCTTCCCTCGACACTTGCAACGGGGCGAATAACGACCCATGCATGCTTTTCTTAGCACGGTGGAAGGAAGTTCGCTCCGGTGCTTGTAGCGAGGCGGGTAATCCCCCTAAAAGTCCTTTTTCGGTGTTCGTGGCTCGCCAAGGGACTACCCATCCACGTTTTTCTTTGCGTGGTGTGAGGAAACTTGGTGCGATGCTTACAATGAAGCAGGCGATCCCTGTGCGTGCTTTTCTTAGCACGGCGGGGCAATAAAGAACTACTTTAAAGACCCATGCAAGCCTTTCTTGGCATGGTGGATGACGAATATTACTGCCGCGGTGTCTCACAAGCATCGACTGTGCACGTCTTTATTGACGTGGCGGGTAGGCTGCCTCTTGGTTTTCCTCTAAATGGAGGAGACGCCGGGAGGCTACCGAAATTTTGTCTGAAATAAGACAAGGACTTGAACAAAAAATGAGACTTTATTTGGACTTAATGAATTATATACAAACTTGAATGATTAAATAAAAGATTTGATTTAAACAAGACTTGATGAGCTACAAAGGACTACACTCAAACTTGATTTGAGCATTAAACGAACTTGAACTTGCAAGCATTTGACTCAAATTCGAGTGAACTCAAAGGTCGCAGGGACATACAACTTGAGATTGATACTCGAACTCAAGCAAGGACTCGAATTGAACAACAAGAAGCTTGAACTTGAAAGTGATACGAGGGACTTGAACAAACTATAAATGACAATAACAAGGGCTTTGAATCAAATGACAATGGCTTAAATTTATAAGTTGGATAAGAAGTTTGGAGCATAAACTCAACTTGAACTGGATGAGCAATCAATGAAGGAATGAATTTGAATAATCTCTAATGAAGGCTAAGAAGTGACTACTTCAATCGGAGTGAAAATGAAAGGTGATATCAAATTCATCATATGCATTAAAACCTACTTTGAAGGAAACGAATTTGCAAGTGGAATTCAACTAGCAAGCCACAAGAAAATGGTGAAAGACCTAGTTTTATTATAAAACCATTACATAGGGATTTTGAGTCATGATGATCGACCTATGGTATTGAAGTTAACTCATCCACAAGATGCAAATTTCTGATTGACAATAATACTAATGTTGTCTACAAACCTATATGAACCTCATGCGATGAATGCAATATACTCGCCAAACTACAAATGAATTCAAAGGGTTCAGACGGTGAATGCTACCATATCATTTCAATCGACATCAACCATTTATGGATGAACATAGAAACTCCTTATGGGCAATAAGAGCTAGCTTGAAAACAAATAGATAACTCATGCCAAGATGTCCAATATTTGAAATGTATGGTAATCTATACATGAATGAAACATAAAGGGAGGCAATGACAATGATTGCAATGACACCCCGAAAATCAAGATCAATCCCCTTGTGGAAGAATACACTGCTCCCTTGCAAGTGAAAGGTGGTCGATTCGCATCAAGTGCAACCATTAACAAGTCATTGTGGGACACTTGCTACATAGAATATTTATCCCTTGTGAGCAAGGAGGTCGATACATAGAAAATTCAAGCACTTTCAAGTGATTGCAGGAGATTCGTATACATGCCGCATGTTATCTACAATCAAACACCGGATGATGCACAACAAATTAAAAATGAAAATCTCTACGAGCTACCGTAGAGGACTTGTTATACGTTCAATGTGTCAACCACAAGAAAAATGCAGAATAACTATAGCAAATACAAGTGATTAAGGTCGATGATAGAAGACTCATATGCAAAGCGACTTTACCATGAACAAAGGATTTATATGAATGCAATTATTTACAAGCGAAAGCAGGAGATTCATTCGTGCACTATAATTCAACTTCAGAAAGCAA